TTTTCTAAGCAAATATCACTCTAACAGATCACCAGTATTATAAAGATTTTAGTAGTATTCTCAAGAAAGAGAAATTAAGAACATTGAATATAAACCAAAATATTAAAGATACTCATAATATGTGTTTCTAATGTATAGTGATAACAGAAAAAAAAGGCATTTTAACTTGGCACTGTAATTGAGAAGAGTTTTTCTTACACGTATCCTGTGAAGGATTTTCATGTCATTCGAATGATTTGAAACAATCATCTTTATTTAGGTATATTCTAGAAGGGTGTTATGAAAGGGAATATATCTAATCAGAATTTACAACACTGAAGCTAGAAAAGAACCGAAACCAGGATTTTCTTTTCATCCATAGAATATTTATTTTTTAAAATATATACAGACACACATACATAGAACGATTTAGAAGACCAAATATACAGCTTTTTATTTTTAGAGGCATACGATGCGATTTATTGTTTTACAATTCTAATTGACACCGCTTCTTCATTCATACTCACATACACACACACACACACATACACATACACACTGATAGTGCAGATACAATAAAAAAAAAAAATTTCTTATTTTATGCTCTTTGTTTTTTCTCACTTCTATCTATGAATTTTTTGTTTGAGTAACTGAAAATTTCCTATTCTCTCGTTTTTCATGTTAATGTCAGTCATAACTTTTATCTTAATATTGGGAGTCACCTGGATATAAAGAGAAAGTGTTTGAATGAGGTGAATATAAAATAAAGACTCATCTTTTTTGATTAGTTCTTTTCAAAATGATGAGGATCGATGGATGAATTTGATGGTGGCTTGTTTACAATATTAAAGAACAATGAAATAATACTACGTAAGTAAATAGTTATGACGTCTTATGTGATTATCATTAGAATCATTAGATCTGATAATTATAGTATGGATAGTACGGAAACAATTAAAAACAAGTTTGATAATATAATTAACAAAAATTAAGTGTTCTTCATCGTTGCCTGTAGATAAAATAATTCTTCAGTTATATTCTGATCCATACTTAATCTAATATTTTATAGATATTATAGTTGACAATATACAAGTGCTTAAATTTTTTTCTGAGTAAGACTCTCTTTCTGTCCTATTCTACTCCAACTCTTTTGTCCTGAGAAAGAGAAACAAGAGAAGAATTGATCAGAGTAGAATTATCATCGAATTATTGTTCAGATAAAAAGAGTTAATAATCTGATAGAAAGATAGATGAAAAAATAACTTGAGACTGTTTTTTTTTAAATGTTGTAAATTATTGAGAAATAGACAAAGTTTGGTCCTACACTGAGGGCTTAAAAAAGTATAGTCGTTTTTGTTTTGTTCAATATTGTTACAGTATGATTCATTTCATATGTTCTGTATGATATCAAAGAACGAGAAAGAAATATGTTCTGTATGATATCAAAGAACGAGAAAGAAATGAATCATACTATAAAATATAATATTGGACAAAACAAAAACGACTATGCTTTTTTGGGCCCTCAGTGTATATTAGAAGTTATTCATTGTGTTAATATCTCACAGAACTAGTATGACATAATTATATTATTTGATGACCTCAGTAGTAATTTCTAATCTTCTATCAGTGCAAATTCTAAACTTTATGTACCCACATCTTGCAGAAATTAAAAAGCTACACAAGTTCTTTAAAGATTTTTCTTTCACGATCACGATCTTGATACAGAATTTTCAAGAATATCAAGTTCCGATACATCAACTAATTTTGATCAAGATTCACTACGGCTTTAAGTCTGACGTATCTTGAAGATTCTGTATCAAGATCTTAAAAAGATTGAATAAAGAAAATTTCACTTGTTGTTCTCGATATCATCTGTTTTGTTTTGTAGTGTCCATGTATATATAAGAAACACTATTCGCACTGTAAATAAGTGAAAAATTATTGAGTCCGTTGTATACACATAACATTTGGTTGAACAGCTTCGGTATGGTCGGAACGATACTGTAAAAGCTGTAAATTGAGCAGTACTGTTGATACAGTAAAGTACTCTAGAACTCGCGCTGTAAAATATAGTAAAAAAAATAAAAAGTAACTGAAAATAATATGTTACGAATCCCCAAAAAACTATTCAAGATTTCATCAAGATTCTGATTGACTAATCAATAACTAATTAATTAATTTGTCAGAATAAGTTACAAATATTGATCAAATTTTTTCAAGACAGATTCTGGTAACAAAAATTGTCGAAATCTTGAACTAAAAAATGATCCCAAGGTCTTTACAACTGTTCAAAAATCTTGAAGTAATTGAGCAGAAACTTGAGAAGTCTTTCAAGTTTTAATCAAGATCTTGGTTCAACATTTTTTATCTAGAATAGTTACTTCATATTACATTTTCAGTTTCCGTCAAAACTTTCTAAACTTAATTTCCTCAAAGTATGAATGAAGTCATAATTTCTTATTGAATTATCGTTGAAATTCATATGAATTAATTTGACAGATGGCTTAAAAAGCCACTAACATAATTAAACATCCGCTCCAACTTTCAAAGTTAGTTATATATTTGACGTTAAAACTGAAATTTCTAACATTTATTTTTGTTAAATTAGTTGTCGCATTTTTGTTTTTTGACATTGTATAAAAAAGAAAATATTAATGCCTTTCGGCAATAAGTCTTACATATTTCATAGTATCTATTTAAGTATGTTTTTATGAGACGATAACGATAAAAATGTCTACTTGATACAAAAATCGTTCATTCTTTATATTAGTTAAAAAATTTTATTCTTTTGTTGTTCTCAAATCTGATAGATATTTTTTATTTTTTATTCTCTTATACGTTTCTTTATACATATAGTAAGTTGAGTGTAATAATGATCAAAAGTTCAATGTCAACAGCATAGGATAAAAGAAGAGTGAAGAGGGAGGAGAGTCATTTGTTCTTTTCTTGTGATTATTTAAACAATAGTATTTTTTTTTTCCTAGTCAAGGAAGACTAATTGTTAGAATATACAGAGAAACGTTTTATGACAAAAAGTGTCGTGTGTCTTTGTAAAAAGGCTATCCTAATTATTGAGAAAGACAAAAAAAACAACACAAACACATACATCAACCCCAAGAGGTTAGTATTAGTCCTAATAAAACACAAAAGGAAAAATAGAATATATTCTATTAATAAAGCATTTGGATTTTTTTCTTCTCCCTATGTCTTGTCTGCTAGAGAAAAGAAAAACAAAATTTTATTAAGAACTATCACGTCATTTAATTGTCTCAGTCCATATGTTTAACGTAAGTTTAGTAGTACGTTCATTAGACAGATATAAGTAAAATACTTTTCTTGTTTCTTCAATTATTCGTGCTTTTATGAGATTGATTTTATCTTAATATTAACTACTAAAGGTTGATTTATGTTTTTCTGAAACCGACCTAAAGTAAAAAACTCGATTGAGAGAGAAAATAGCTACAGTGAATAGCATGGAATACACTGCTCTTCTCTTTCACAGTTTCTCATGTTCTTTTAAAATATATTTAGTTTTCTGCTTAGACAACATATCTAACAGGTACTATACTGTATTAAAAAATAGTTTTGTATATTTTAAAAAAAATTTCAATTCTATTTTATTTGAAATCGAAAGGAGCTCACCTCTGTTAACTAATTTAAATTTTTTATTATAATAGATGGCCCAGAATAAATGTTTCATTCAGTATTTTCTCAATATCTCGGTCAAGGTTGATCGCCAAGTCTCAATCTATTTTTAAAAAAGGTTACTCATTCAATTCTCTACACAAAATATATTGAATATTTTTTTATATACTATAAAAATAAAAAAATATAGAGGAAATATGGAAAAGTTTCAATATCGATTACTTTCAAACCCAGAGCGCAATCAAAAAATAATAAATTTTGAACACGGTGCGGTGCTATGTATCAAAGTGGAATCGAAATGTATTTTCTGGTGGTCCACAATGTCATCTTTCTTTTCTTGTATCATAAGTTCGCTACAAACCTTTTTTTCTACAACGAACGAAGATTTTACTCAAAGCAAAGAAAAAGGGGAAATTTGATTTCTTTGTCGTGGCACTGGAAACGAAATGAGACTATTCTACTTTCTCTGTTTGGACGTAACAGAAGAATTATTTTGCTTTAAGATAAATCAGACCCGACGTCATAATGTGTAGTTTTGACTGAATCATACAAATTTTCCTAAGTGCGTCATAATTGCAGTTAGAAAATGATGATTTTGGTCAAAATCGCTAAAAGAAAAAAAAATCCTCTGTGACCGCTTGAGTCTTAAATATAGCCAGTTGATAGAAATTTTCGAGAACTACAAAATAGCCATTTTCTTCTTTTTTTATATCACAAAATATAAGAGGCTGAAATTGAAAAAACATGTTTTTTGGGTTTGAAAGTAATCGATATTGAAATTTTCCCGTATTTCCTCTATATTTTTTTATTTTTATAGGATATAAAGAAATGTTCAATATGTTTTGTGTAGAGAACTGAATGAGGAAGCTTTTTTAAAAAATAGATTGAGATTTGGTGATCAACCTTGACCGAGATATTGAGAAAATACTGAATGAAACATTTATTCTAGGTCACTCGTTACATGTTAAAGTATTTGCAAGTCGGATATAGATCAATTTAAAATACTTTCTTCTGCGCATAATCAACTGAACTTATGCAAATTATTTGATCAAAATTTCAAACATAATAAAAATAATTTCTTGTACAATTAGAAATTCTCTTTTTAAATGAGATGTATATTTTGCGGTACAGTTCAATATTTTTTAGAGATTAATTAGAAGAAAAGACAAGGGATAAAACTGTTTTTTTTAACACTAAAATACTAGTGAGAGTTGAATGTCTATTTATCATTTTATTTCATCTCACTTTTTGTCATGTTTTTGATCACATTTTTTTTTTCTTTTTTCTATTTTATTTTTAGGTCGATTTGTCTAACATTTACATATACTGATCTGAACACGAATCTTTAATGTTCATTCAACAAGTCATACATTGTCATGCAAGATAGTGTTTCTGAGTTAGTTTTGAAATTCTATAGCAATACAACAATAACTACAACATCAATTCCTGAAGTACAAAAACATGGATTTGTTTTAGCATATATTGGTTTTACATTGTTAATATGTTTAACGGTTGGTGGCAATACATTTGTACTACTAGCCATTTATCTTGATAAACGTTTACATTCGACGTCATTTTATTTAATTGCCAATATGGCTGTAGCCGATCTTCTATTAGGAATAGCGGTATTGCCATTTTCATCAGTATTAGAAATTCTACATGGAAAATGGATATTTGGTACAAGTTTTTGTACAGCATGGTTAGCAATCGATGTTTTATGCTGTACAGCATCTATTAATGCATTAATGGCTATATCGGTTGATCGCTATATTGGTGTTACACGTCCATTAATTTATTCACAAATAATGACAATAAAACGAACAATTATATTAATTGTAATTGTTTGGGCTGCATCGACATTAACATCTGTTGTACCATTATTCGGTTTGACATATAGACCACCAAAACAGTCACAATCATTAATAAACAATATGACATCTAATTCATCATCACAACACGATTCTCCTCAATATATTTGTGAAGTAAATAAAAATACATTTTACACTATATTATCGTCATTAATATCATTTTATATTCCCGTTCTTATTTTACTTATACTATATTCTCGTGTTTATCAAGAGGCAAAAGAACAATCAAAAAAATTAGAAAATGAGAAACGTCGATTATATAATATTGATTATCAAATAGCATCATCACAAGCGCAAATGGTGAAACCACACTGTTTAACATTAGATAATGCCAATCATACTCATCAAAAATTAATTAATAATAAAAAACAAAAAGAACAACAAGAAGAACAACGTCGTTTGTCAGCACAAACAATAAGATTTAGTTTAAATGATGGAGAGCAAACAAAATCTCTATTAGATAATAACAATAGTAATAATAATAATAATGGTTTGCAAGAACATGATGGTGATGATGAAAGTATACAACGAACTGTAACAGGAGTTGAAGGAAAAAATATGCAACGAGAATTCAAAGCGAGTAGACCAATTATTAAAGTATTATTTTTTATCCCTGATTTTTGTTTTGTTTACTTTTTAGCGTAGTACTAGTACTGAAACATCAAATTCTAATTCATTTCCTCATCAATTTGCAACAGCAAGTCGTCTTATTGGTAAACGTTTATCGACAACTTTAATACGTAGTAGTAATAATCATTCATCGATACCACCTAGTGATGAATTATTAATTATTAAACGTAAATTACATAATTTAAGACGAGAAAAAAAAGCATTTCATACACTTGGCCTTATACTTGGCGCACTATTAATTTGTTGGCTACCATTTTTTGTTACTCTTCCAACAATTGCCATCTTAAAAGCTAATCGTATAAACGTTAATGATACATGGTTTAAAATAACATTTTGGATGGGCTACTGTAATTCAGCATTAAATCCGTTTGTTTATGCATTCTCAAATCGTGCCATTCGACGTTCATTTCAACATATTTTATTTCGAAAAATTTGTTGTTGTTATTATAAAACAAAATTTCTTTGTCAACGAAAACCACAAGAATATTCGACAAGTACTCAAAATAATTCAATAGTAACTCAAATATCGACGAATACAATTCGAAGAGATAGTTCATTTACAAACGAATACATTTCAACAAAGAAACCAAATGGTATATTAACAACAGTGACATCATTACCATCGAATCAACAAAATCATGTGTCGTTTGCCGAAATGTTAACCGAAGGCAATGGTGGGCATCCAAATGAGACACATGACATATCACATAAATCAAATCATGAGTCATTGCTCACAGCGCCTACACAATCGATAGAAACAAAAAAAAATCATTTAAAAAATGTTCTTTATAGGCATGTGAAAGAGTAACTAAGGTAAGTGAGATCTTTGTAACAATAAGATCAATTATTAACAGGAAGTTAAAAATGTCTATATAGTTCGACAAAAAATCTCCCGTTAAGAACACAAAATGCACACACAATTTTGAGAATTTGGAGGAGAACAAAATATTACTTTGAGACTTTTATGATTTAGCCATTCGCTCAGAAAATAAAATCGCATAACAATTTTCTCACACGAAATGAAAATAATAGATTTAAATCATTGCTCTTCTTGTTAAATTTATCTTATTATAATCTCAGTTATAATCAAGTTCAGACGAAAATACATTGGTTAGTCTACTTAAAGACTTGAATTACTTGTAGAATATACCATATGTACTTTTTTAACTTGTGTTTGAAAAGTGTTGGAGAGATAAAAAGATGTTAAACTGTTGTTTTAGATAAAGACTTCACTATTATATTCTGAGTCATCACATAATCCGGTGTGTTTTCACGGTGAAAAAAGTTGTATTACTGTTATTATTTTTGACTAGATCTTCATTCCGCTCCAGTTTTCCTTTATTTTCTATGTTTTGTATTTGTATTATTGAAATGAAAAAAAAATTAAACAGTATCTTTTTGTTGAAAACAAAGGAAAGAGATCAACAGTGATATTTTTTTGTATTCTCACGACGATTTATAGATACAAAAAGGATCTTTCTTTTTTCTTTTTTTGTATAAAATCTTTCTCATTATGTGTATTTTATTTTTCTTTTGTTTTACACAACTCCAGTCACACGTATACGCACATATATTTTTGTTCAAATAGACAATTCCAATGCACAAAAATCATCAAAGACTCTCTAAAATTGTCACATTTAACAGATGCGAAATGATACGGACTGTTTATTTATATTGATCGACTAGGGAACGATCTCTACTTTCAGCGTAAAGTTCTCCAATTTACTCGCATAGAAATTTTCATTAATTAATTGTTCTTCCTGCTTTAAAACCATTTCATGGTAGAAGTTACACAAAAGCTCATCAATTTCGGTCTGTTTGAAAAGTTCTGTCTTATATAACAGCACATAATTACCTAATTTATAATTCTCAATAACAAGAAAAAAAATTCATGTTCTCTTTTTCTCGATTGATCTTCACCGAAAATCTGTTCTGGTCGTGAGCACATGAAGCCGGATACATACACCAGATCTTTCACAATTAACGCACCTGTAGTAAATCCTTTGATGTCATAATAAAATTGTTTCAATATTAGCAGTGCATCACGTAGTTATTTCCAACGTTTTGAATCCATATGCTTTCGTATTTCTATATCCAATGATGTATCGGAAAGATATACGAACATTCGCGTATATTTAAAAGCAAATTCGATCGGTTCCAAACGGGATATTGAAAAGATTTGTTTTCAATACGATTAACTAAGTAAACTTCGCTATTGAGCCGTATATTTCGTTTGAATTGTGTAAACGTAAACCCTAAGCGATTTTAATGTTAGTAAGCATACTGCTGATGATAAAGCGAGAAGGGTACAGAGTATACAATAATAGAAATGTTAAATTCTCAAGAGAATTCGATTTACGTAATTCTGACAACAATATGTGAACCCGTATTTATGGAAGAAATGTTTTTTGAGCACCAAAAATAAGGCTTTTGAGCACCAAATTAATTATATGTCAAATGAGCACCCAAAAACAAGATATGTTTTAATAATTACTCAAACTAACTCAAACTGAACAAATTGATGAAACTTTGTAAACTGTGTCATACATAGGACTAATTTTTCTATATAAGGCGCTCGGTGCTAGTGCTAAAGTACTCAAAAAATTCTACAAAAGTAAGTTAAAATGTCTAACAACGAATAACAAGTTTTGAACGTCGTGAAAACACTCGATGAAGTTACAGCAATAGTACAACAACATCAAGTATCGAAATTTCGTACGTCTAATTTAAAAACTTCTACTAAATATTCGTATCGATGTAGTCAATATCGGAAGTATCCATTGTGTCGGTATGAAATACAGGTTAATATTCCAGATAATAATCCAGATGATATCAAAATACTGTCAAGAAATGTACATTCACATCAACAACGTAATACAACAACCCGTTTACCTTCTCCTGTTCGTGAATCAGTTGCAAAATATGTTAAATGTGGTCTTACACATACTCAAATGAAATCTGCATTATCTATTGATCATGCAAATATTCCATTACCATCAAGTCAATTATCGAATATAATCAGCTATAATCGACGGAAAAATAATCCAGAAATATTTTCGGTGTATGATCTGCGTAAATGGTGTAATGATCATAAAGATGGTAGTGATTCATCACATTCAACATTTGTACCATATTATTCGATTGATAATGTTGATAATATTTTTGTATTATTTACAACAAAACAATTAATACAATAAACCCAATTTACAACTTTGTTACAAGTAGATGCTACATACAAAATTACATGGAATGAATTGCCGTTATTAGTGTTTGGAGCATCTGATGCTGATCGTCATTTCCGTCCGTTTGGCATTGCTTTAGTGTCTAGTGACGAAAGTTCAGCATGTTATGAACAATTATTTAATCAACTTCGATTTATATCAGCACAAGAATGTAATCGTCCATATTTAGTTTTTTTAGCCATATTTAGCTTTTTTGGTGCTCATTTGTCTTATCACTAATTTGGTGCTCAAAAGTCTTCTTTTTTGGTGCTCATTTGTCTTATCACTAATTTGGTGCTCAAAAGTCTTCTTTTTTGGTGCTCAAAGTAAATACCGTCCCGTATTTATACCGATAATTATTACGCATGTTTTTAATCAACAAGCAATATAGAAAGGAATTAGACCGTCGATAGCAATTCGCTCTTTGTGGCCTCATAGGATAGAATTGACCGACAAATATTTAGACAGATATTGAGTCTCAGTAATATCTCGGACAGAATTTGTAAAATTTCAATCTTTGATCTATCATCGATTGTTAATTATTCTAAATTCTTTAGATAATCAAATCCGTAGATTCACTTTTCAATGTCGGTGATATAGAATGATCTCTGAATTTTTTATTGCTGGATACAATAAGTGAGTGAGTTAACTTCGTGTATAAACACAGTCAGTGACGAGTTGAAACAATATTCGATGTGGGCCGCATTCGTATTTGAATACACTGTAAAGTTGGAAATTATTTATGAAAAATGCTCAGCGAATTTCAAAGAGTACCTATGGGAATTCCCCGAGGAATTTCCAGTTTATAGAAAATCGAATTTCCAACAAGCCAGAAAATCCTCGTTGAATTTCCATAAATAATTTTCAAGAGGGTAGAAATTTCTTTTTTGATTTTCTATAAACTGAAAATTCTGCACCTAGTGGCAGAGCGACCAGGTTGTATGGGAGTTGACACCACTCGTGCTTTTGAGAAATTTCTGGTGAACGTCTCCTATTTTCGGACCTTGCTACCAGAACTTCGTGCCACCACTGTCTCTGCCTAAATCAAAACTCTTGCTGGCATAGGCAGAATTGTGATCTAAAGCAGAAACTTTCAAAGTTGATTTAAGTGTAATATGTGTCTTTACGCGACGCTCCTATACCTACACTGATTGCAAAACACAAAGATGAATAAGTATCTAATCTAGACATTCCTGGACGAATTTCCGCTTTCTAGAAAATCGCGGACGAATTTCTAGTTTATAGAAAATCGTCAAGGATTTTCTAATTTATAGAAAATCAAAATCAAGTCGATTTTCTATAAAGCAGAAAATCAAGATTTCCTAGAAAGCTGAAAATTCGTCACTAGAAATTCGTCCGCGATTTTCTAGAAAGTGGAAATTCGTCCAGGAATGTCTAGATTAGATACTTATTCATCTTTGTGTATCAAGTGTAATCAAGATGTACTTCATTAGCGCAAATGGACATTTTATACGGGGAACAGAATCGGTCCAAATTTTTTTTCTGAAGAGCTTATTATGTGAATCGACGGGCAGCAAAGTATCTCTTGATTCAAATCACTTTTC